TAGATTTCTTTCTTCTCTTTGTTTTCCCATGTCTGCTGTGAGTTTCTGGACTACAGAATTAATCACAAAACACTATTAACATGATTGATCATTTTTGAAAGATGATCAGTGTTTTGTTATGGGGATGAGTGTTATCAACGTGATACAGAGAGACCAACGGTGATAGGAGTTAACAGTGAGCTAAAGAAATGAGTGCAGAAACAGTGATGTTATCCACTTCATCAGTGTGTGCGTGCTCCGATCTAATCCGCAGAGTAAAAATGACCTTCCTTTGACCAGCTTCATAATTACCAGATCTCATAGAGTCTAAATCTCCCTACCTCCAGTGGAGTAATTATCAGTGTGACTCACTGAAAAGGCAATTGAGACAGTGGTTTATGGACTCCCATAGCGGAACGTGAGGCAGAGCAGTAATGTGGAGCTTGTTTGTCCCCTCTCACCTCTCTTGTTAAAGAATGACAGCTGTGTTTAGACTAGAGCAGTTCCTAAAAATACAGGGTGGGTCACATTGGACAATTTGATTAACTCCTGACAGGCTCCTGTGCAATTTAGCTCTTAATTTACAGCACTCCTAAATTACACCAAAGACATTCAGTGCAACAGCAGTGAGGGGTGATTTTAGTAGAAGACAATTATGTATCTGAGCTGAGTAGAAGAGGTGACGCACACGTTTCACTTCTTAATATGAGAACTACTTAAAAAGTAACTTTAAGAAAAGCAAACAGTGCATCATTTACTGATCTGACACAAGGTTCTATAGGTTTTATTCATTCCTGTGAACTCCATACAGTCTTTTCAAGGATTGTCATCTTTTTTTCCTTTTTGATGTCCAAGAAATCTTAAATCCCTTCAACATGAACTGATCATCTCGTCCTTCTCCTGAACACACTTTACACTACACAGAGTGAAAGCTATACAGAGTGAAACAAAGTCCATTTGTGTCAATATGATTACTGTCAAGCTGAAGTCGCTCTCCAGGTTGGCCTTGGCCAGGCTCTTTTTCTAAGGACTTTCAAATGATGACGATATACAATGATTCGTATACACTTTCTGTGTAGCCATAATGCCTCAATAGGTGTTTTTTCTTTGAACAGTTAGTATGGCATGGAGCAGTGATGTAGTGTGGATCTTAGGTACATCTGCATCTTAAAAAGTGGTCAAAGCACTCATTTTTATACATGTTACACTTCTCGTACTCTTAACATCAGAGTCCTGCACGTTCCTCAAAATTCACCTTTGCGTTGAGAATCAACGTTGGACAGCTGCACTGACTCCACCTGTACACAAACAGCATGCACACACACAAACGACGTATAAGATAACTCATAGGGAATAGTTGTAAACGGCGGTGTTGTGCATTGAGAGGAAAACAAGGAGTCGAGCTCGAATCAGCCCCAGAGAGAAAAGTGCTGTAATAGGGGGGTTGGCAGGGACTACTGAGATAGCGCTGGTAATGAGAGAGCAGGCTGCCCCCACCCGTCCCACCCCCTCTCTCTCTCCTCAACCGCACAGGAAACAAAAATAGCATTTTGTCTGACGAATGAGCCAGCTTTGACCTAGCCTTTCGACCTCTGACAATCAGTCTCGCTTCGTCCTCCAGTACTTCAGAAGCCGGAGCCGGGACAGTCAAAGATAACAGTTGATTTCTACTGTGGCACTGAAGCAAAATAAAAAAAAAAAAAAAAAAAAAGCTCTGAAAGAGAGATGGCAAACAGTTCCTCAAAGCGTTGAGGTTGGAGGCCTCTCAGATTTCTCAGTGCTGGTGTTTCATACTCCCAAATGATTGTTGTTAAATGTTTAGATGGAGCACAAAATGCCACAGTTCAGCTTGTATCTCATCATTTAGCTGCATGACTTTCCTGCTATGATCTGGCTCATTCCTCATTATAAACATTAACATAGGCGAGTTGTGACAACAGTAAGAGTGGGACCCTTGCTCTCACAGCCCTCAGGCTTGATGACTAAGTGGGAGCGCAGCTTGCATCGCAGTCGGAGGACTGGTGAATATGAAACACAACAAAGAGACAGTGGGAGATATAATGAGCACTATAGGATCCCGGCACCCTTTTGCCCTCTCTCCATCATAAGTGAAGCTCCCGCTCTCATCCTCGGCCCTGTGTCTGCTGGAGGAAGGAGCACAAACAATTAGCTGAGACAAGCCGTTTGGATTATGTGCTCAACCAAAGCAATCAGACAGCTGTGGTTAAAAGAATGAGCTTCAAAATGCCAGTTGCCCAGTTAGAGGGGAAGGGAGGGTCAGTGGTCCTGACAGTCTTAACAAGATGACAGAATTTATAAAGCACTGCTGTTAAAGAATATAGTTACCTGCGGTGTAGCCCTTATAATAAGGCCACATGGGGCTTCTTCCATATTCCCTCTGTATTTGTTTTCTTTTGCCTCATATTCTTTTGTTGTGCCTCTTGTTCCTCAGCGTAATGGTTGGCGCTGGAGGAAATTCTCCAATCGTCTTTGATCTTCGCCTGGTTTCGATAATTTTTTGACAGAAATCTCATTTTACCCCCCTTTTGTTTTCTCCGTCTTTGTTCCCTTTTATTCCATCTTTAAATAGGGCTCAACATTTTGTCGTTGTGAAGTTGCAAAGGAAAAGAGCCGGTCCTGTCAGGGGCTCAGCGCTTGCTAGACAACTTGCCCCAACATTTCAAGAGAGAATTGGACTCTCGCCGTTTGCACAGATGATATATAATTCATGGTGGGGGTGTGAGAGAGGTGTCAATGTGTCAGGAGGTAGAAGAAATGTAAAAGTGTACTGTTTACTGGCCAAGAAACGCCGGCTTTCTTTTGCTGAGCTTCTGCAGAGTGAGGAAAGAGGACGATGATCTGATGTTCATCAAATGTTCATCTGTGCCTGTCCTGGAGTCGTAGTGACCACACTAATCAAAGACTTGTCTGCCCTGATGTTTTATTCATATTTTATGAGACAACCATACTTAAATTATTTAAGTGCATTGATTCTGTATATATACAAGCTTGTCTACGCCTGTGTTAACAATTGCTCGGCTGCGTTATCAATGGATGTTCACAAACACTCCGTGTTTGTTATTCAGTCCTTTGTGTTTTAAGTCACGATAGCAAACTGTGTATGTGATGCACTGTTTAAAATCTTTCTGATAATGCTGCAGATTTTACTTTTAATACAACAATTAATTTAAAAATTCATGTTTTTTATTGTCATATTGCACTATAGTGTAATTTGCACATTTAAATGAACCAAACAGTTATGACGGATTTTAGATACAGAAAACGACTTGTTTCATCTGTATAATTTACTCAGTTACATTTTAAACTTTTAGTCATTTAAATATATAGTTTGATTTGTTCACAAATTTCAGCAATTGTTTTTTCTGCACAACAATGACCATCAATCTAATGAACAGTGCCATAGTAAACTTATTGATTGATTGATTGATTTAGTTTCTGCACGTCCTCCATATATTTCTTGCTCATTGTCAAAGAAATGTAATACTTTTAAATTAGTTTTGTATTATTTTCTTATCAATACTTGTTGTAACTTCGTCCAACTTTAAGGTCAATTTGTTAAATTCCATTACACAAATTTCTCTCTGTAGTACAGTGTGTGAAGTGGAGTCAAATATCACCGCACAGCTCAGGTCTGTCCCCTTCAAGCCCACATTATCTTTTAATCCACAGAAAATCAGGTAGGATCCTGTCATGGTCATCTGATGTAACCTTACTGTTGATTTCTGTACAATGATGTGTAATGTCACAGAGTCAAAGGCAACATCACAAACTCAGATTGACTGCTCTGTGGCTATGGAAGCCATGATGCATGTTTTTTTTTGTTTTTGTTTTATGGTTCATGTTTCTATCAAGTCTTTTGCATTTTGCATGAGGAATAACTGTAGATATAGGACTCATTTTTTTACCATATAGAATATTCTTCTCTGACTGACAAGGCTGACAAGCGTTTTCTCTGTGTGTGTAGAGGTTAAAAAAAAACTTTTATATCCATTATGTCTGTATGGAAACTCAGTTTGCCCTTTCTTCTGTTTAGGCTGTGAAGGTCAGCCTAGATGGTGTTTTTAGTCCAATTCTCCACATATAGCATTACAGATGATACCCTTTGTAGACATTATTTGTTGTCTATGTTGTGTTATGGATTTTCTTATGACATTCAAACTTGGTGTGTGTGTGTGTGCGTGCGTGCGTGCGCACGCATGCGCGTGTGTGTGCGTGCGTGTGTGTGTGTATGTGCACTGATCCACCAAATTCTGTATTCACATGTTTTTGTAAGAACTGTCATAGAAAATGACCATGACGTTGAGGTGCACCTGCAGTGATCACAGAACAATATTTGTATGTTTATGTTTTGGATCATGTTTTAGATGGACCTTCTGGGTCCGTGGGTAGTATTTGCATGCAGGGCGGCAGGCTGTTCTGTCTCAGCCTGAGTGTTAACCATTTTCCTTTTAAACAGCATAAAAATTTATAAGCATTTAAATGTAGAAATGAGGTTCTAATGGCGTGCCATTATTGGATCCAATTAGTTAATGGGTTTATTTCTGAACTCTTGCAGTGAAGATGGATGTCTCTTTCCTATGAGATTTTCAGCCATTAAACCAAAGATTGTGACATTCTCCAAGTTACAATGAAGACTTTTGGCTCCAGAGAGAGCAATTATATCAGTCAGGCTTGATAGTTTTGTCCTCGAACCAGCAAAATTAAATTCACTGAGTCTACCATGCAGGCTTAAAACCCTGGGGGACCCTGTTGTGGCTCCACCCAATTTACATCTGTCTCTCACTATTCATCCTATGCATCCCACACCTCCACGAGTACGTGTGTTTCTATCTGAGGTGTGAGTATATTCTTCAGATAACGATGGCTTCCTGTTTATTTGCTGAAAGACTTGTTGTCATGTTGTCAGTCCAAAGTCATTTGCGTTTGTTGCGCTCTATATTGAGAGTTCAGGTCTCATGCAAAAACAAGACTCAAACAACTCGCTGTCCTTTCATCAACAGCTACCTCATCACTCAACTCCCAGCTCCAGCACCTGCAGCAGCTCCAACAGATGCAGCAGCACCACCAGCAGCAGCAACAGCAGCATCAGCAGCATCAGCAGCAACACCATCACCAACAGACCCACTCCCACACCCAGAACCAGCTGCCAACCCAGCATCACATGACCCCGCCCAACCAGCAGCAGACCTCTGTCCCGTCTCCAGGCTCTGCCTGCTCCTCCACCTCTGGACAGCCACAGCAGTCTCCACCACACCGACCCAACCAGTCACCGGCTCGCAGCCTTCCTTCTCCCGTCACCCCGCCCATGCCTTTGCCCGTAAGTCAACAACCGAAGATACATTTTGTGGAGTCATGCACCAATCCAAATTTCTCTCTCTGATGCAGATTCTGATCCTAAACTCATGGTATTGACCTCAAACTTTATTTTGTACACCTCACTGTATGCAGGTTGGGATCATTGTTTAAGGCAACATGAAATCTTATTTTTCTTTTCTTATACATTGATAAAGTTTTGTTTTTACAATTTAAGTATAAAATGTGGACTGGTGACTTTTGACTGATACCTGACCTGTCCACCAGTATTTATGGTGATCATAGAAGCAACAGATTGCTTTTTGCATATTCACTTGTTAATGGTCTGCCATTGTACACATTTGTAAGGCTCTCAGAAATCTTCTCTTCATGTAAATTTCATGGACACTGAATGAGCTACATTACAGGAAGCATAAGAAGGCCACAGTGTTAGTCTTGATGTTAAACTTACAATACAGTGCACAAATTAGATATATTATTCATATGTGAAAATGTGACGCTCCACTTAAAGAATTCAAGTGTGCATTGAATGGCGTCACTGATGATGGTGTGATTTCGGGCAGGTCAACCTCGAGAAATGATGTGCTTAAGCAGTTTACACAGTGCTTGATTTTCTGTCAGCACTTGATCTTTATCAAGTGGCTGTATTTGAATGCAGGCTGGCAGCTCTTCTGTCTATGTGGAGCTATTAGAATATGCATCTTGTCGCTGAAGCCTTGATGTACTCGAGCACATCAAACCTCACGACCAGGCAAGAAGCATGATTCACATCCTTCTCCTGCAGATTCAGTAGGGATTCTGGGGTTATCTATCCTTGGGCTTTCCAGCTGTAATCAGTCCCTTAATCTTTGCTGCTCTTCCTACTCAACCTGCTTTTTAGTCACTTTGTCTGTCCATCCATCTCTGCCCTTCTGTCCGTCTGGCTGTCACTGTGTGACGATAATAACCTATTTTATATCCCTGTGGTTTCATTTCTGGTGGAGACTGGCCAGGGTCGCCTTTCTGTCCCTGGTCACATTCATCAGCGTCAGACCCTTATTGGGTTGTGGTGCAACCTTCTTTATGGCCAGGATGAGTTGGGCTATTTGTTTCCCCCGTTGCAGCCCTCTCCGGCCCTGTCACGGCCTAGTGAGACTCAGCAGGAAAAACAGCCTCTGTATTTAATGGGCTCCAAAGACTAGCCGCTACATCGCACCATAGACACCGTCCAGTCTGACTGTGGATTCAATAGCCACTGACCAACATACAGATTCACACATTAAGCTTGCAGTAGGCAGCGTTTGATACCCTTAAGTAACAGCTACACTATAGTCAGACTCTCACACTTATAAGTGATTTGCTATTAAACCACAACTTTGTTACATTTCCAAGAACCTGTGAATGTCCTTCTCTGACACACAAAGACAGCAGGAGCAGGGTCATTTTAAGACTGAGACCCTTAGCTTTATATAGATTGTCTTGGTCTAAAAGAAGCAGCACGGCTGATTATGATGACTGAGGACAGACCTCCCTCGAGGGGGGCCGAAGGGGCCACATCAGGTATCATTAAGATATTGCCTCATCAAATAGGATTATGGAACGTGTGTGTGTGTGTGTGTGTGTGTGTGTGTGTGTGTGTGTGTGTGTGTGTGTGTGTGTGTGAATCAGAATGGCTGTAAAAGGTTTAGTTTCTCTGGGTCAGTGCTGGGGTTGTCAAAGAGTGTGTCACCCAGCGAGGGGCTCGCCCAAGGACAGGCCGTGGCCTCAGCACCCACTCAAGGCTGCAATAGGATTTAAACAGCAGCTCCTCCTCCCTCCGGTGCCTGGGTCAGTGATTGGATTTTCAGTCCCAGAATCACTGAGCACCTCATTGGTTAATTCACAGAAGTTTTTAATTCAGGAAGACTCCCTGAGCAGAGAGTTTGTGGCAAACACATGTGAATTGTCACCGTTATCTGCTTTTGTATGTTTTAATTGAAGACACAGAAGGGCATTTCTGGTGTTTCCATGCTTTACCCAGAGGAGCTGGTCTGTGCAGTAAAGTCGAGTCATAATTACCATAATACAATCAGCATTACACAGATAACACCCCTATTTCCTGCTGTCATTATTCAGCCACGCAGAATCACCCAGCCATTCAACTATTTGCCAAAAAACAGCGCAGAGCTGCAGAGAGACAAACACTCATTATGTTCCAATTAATGTCCCATTGTAATTCTCTTCTCATGGGAGGTGTGCGATATTCTTTGTAAACTCATAGTGAGGAAATCCTCAGCATTCATTACATCCCTAGTGTTTTAGTGTTTGGTGTTTTTAATTTATGAGACAAAATTCATTGATTGGCTCATTAATATCCCTATTAGCATACAAATCACACCAAACCAGACTGTGTCCCCTTGAGTCAATGGTCTAAACTCAGATTAGTGCAGCTAATTTGGTTAAATGGAGTAAGAATGTACCTTTCTACCCCGCCCACACCCACTCTGCTCCCCATTATGCAGAGTACAGTGAGATGCAGCCTGTAGCTGCCTGAAATAGCCACCACAGTGATGACAAATAGACGGAGGGAGATTATGAAATTTGCTTAAGTGTGTTAATGGGCTGATTGCGGGAGCCCGCTGGATTTTGCTGGAAGTTGATTGATTAGAGCTGCGGGTTTTCTCCACGCCCGGAGAGCTCAGGGATTTGACGGGGTAAAGGCGCTCGCCAAGTCTGTTACACCGGAATTGATCTTAATTAGATCTGAAAGACCTGCCACAGCAGAATGGTCGCGGCGATTAAAATGAAAAACAGGAGAAATTACTGATCAAATTAATCATAATGTCGGGCTACAGCTGTAGGTCTGGTGTAATTTGCCACTCCAGTGAGTTACATCAGCCCAGGCAGGGAGAGGAGAGGCAGTACATACTGATCCGTGGCAGCGGGAAGCTTAGGCCAGCCTATCAACTCTCTTATTCCAGTTCGTATGCCCACACCCTCCTGACCCCGCTGCGCCATCCAGCGGAGCCCCAACATCCCTCTCTCTCTGTGGCTCCGATCTAATTAGTTGCTTTTTTTTATTGCCTTTTTTTTTCTTCTCTATTATGTCTTCCTCCATCCAGGAGCTGCATCCTCTTCAACACTGCGCTGTCTCTCTGTCGCTCTTGTCAAGGCTGTCTTGTCACCAGCATGTTGTGTGTTCACTAATAGCCTCTGACCTTGGTCCAGTGTCTGGCTGGCTGGTTTTTCGGGCGGCCCGGCAGAGATGGAGGCGTTCTGTCTTCCTCCTCCGTCAGACTCCTGCCGTCTGTCCGTGTGTCTGTCTCTACTCCCCTTCGCAGTCGTCTCCTTGATCGCTGTCAGAGCCCCACACTGGGCCTGTCCACTCTCCATTCGCACACTCATAGGGGTAATTACAGCCTAGGGGCCTGCCTCCTATCCCTGTGCTCCACAATTTACCACCAAAGCGTCCACAGACATCTCTCTTCTTCCCCACTGCACCCCGACATCACAGGACCGCAGGGCCTCAGACCCACAAGTGCTGCAATTACCTGAGCCTCTCCTCTATCCTTTTCTCTCTCTCTCTCTCCCTTCTCTCTTCTCACTCTATCTTGCTCTCTCTCTCCTCATCCTCCCTGTTCCCCTCTCTACCCCTTGGCTCCCTCACTATTCCCTGGCAATCAGCCTTCATTAGAAGCCTCTGGTGAAAACCCATCGTCACCAAGGTCAGCGGCTGCCAACCACAACAGCCTTTCAGAGGCCTGCCTGTCTGCACTCTCCATCTCTTCTCACCTCCTTGCCACCCCCCACCCACCACCCCCCCGTTCACTCCACCATCCTCCTCAAGTCTCGGGCCCATCTCTGCTGCTTTTGTCTCCAGCTGAGGCCCCTTCAGACACTCATGTCACTGTTTTCCACTGCAGTGCACTTTTACTTATGTCAACCGCTGTTAAAATCACCACTGTCCAATTTGCTCCAAATGTCTCTTTTTTATGGGTGGTGGGTGTTTCTCCCATTATATTAACATGTGTATTAAATGAGCCTTGCACATCGATTAATTGATTTTCCAGATCAGCTCCACGTCTATTCAATTTAGCGAAACGGGCCGCCATCATTCTGCAGGGTATTAAATCAAAATTAAAATGACATGCTCAAATATGGACCCAATGGCTCATACTGCGGCTTGTCAATGAAACTGGCAACGCTTACAGCGAGGGAAGAGTCCATTATCTATAGAATGTCTCATAACTCAACAGTGGTGTCTGTTTGGAAAAAGACTGGAGGTTATTCATAAAGATTTAATTTTACAGATCTGTTTCAATAGATTTCTGACAGTAAACTTCCCAATGCATATTCTTTTTTATTTTTTCCTCCCATTTTTAAATTGATAGTTCAGTTTTCAATTTCAAAGCACATTTTCATTGTTCAAGTCAAAGAATTCTTTAATTTAAAAATCAGAAGTAAAGTGGAGGGTTATACAGTAGTATAGTAGTAGTTGTGTATTTTTTAGATCCTACTTTGATCGTTTGTAGGAAAAATATTTAAATGTAATAAATGGATTTAATGTATCTCCACCAGAATTATATTCCTAACAGTGTAGTGATGGCTTTAACAAGCATTCAGAGTGTCACAGTAAAAAAAAAAAAAAATCAAAAGGCACTAAATATATAATTAATTAGGTAAATGAATGAGGACATGGGGTTGTAGGGCTGGACGAGGCTCTAATGACCTCAGTATTTCTAAAAATCTTTGCTATGGCTTCAGGTAAAGCTGCAAATAATCTGAATATGCAGAAGCTCTGAGCACTGTCACATATGACCATTATCCAGGCTAACACCTGTTTCTGAATTACAATTTTTTAATAAAACTTTTAAATGTGTATAAATGGTATGTGGTGCCAGACTGTGTTTAAATGGCTGTGCTGCTGCTGCTGCTGGTTGTGTGGTTCAGAGCATGAACAGGCCCTCAGCTCTCCAGCAGCTCAGCCTAGCCTCTTATTAATGCACAGGAGATCCGGCTCTTAAGAAGGCAGAAAATTGCCTTACA